TCCTGCAAACTGTAGTGCGACGTTAATCGCCGCTTACATCAATATGTTGGAATCATCACTTAACCCTTTTGTAATGATGAAAGTATATTTATTCACCACAAACAAAAGGATTAGAAAAGCGACAGAAGAATACACGTACACGAATGTAAACACTCTATAATGGTAGTTGCATCAATGAAATATCCACCGCATAATTTACACGTCAGCTGATCGTTGAGTTTAGATAGCCGTAAACGATACCCTCCACTCTGACCTGACATCCTATAGTAAGTAAAATAAATTAATTATACATATTTAATTATTAATCAATGAAAATACCACACAAATTGCAACAATACAAACATTTTATATAACATACCATCAAACAAACAAAATAATTTTTCAGACAAGTTTAACAATTTGCACATTGAAAATATACTGAAATGAATTTTGAAACAATCATATTTAAATGTCACAATTAAGATATTAAACTTACGTGTTAAATGGCGAGAAAATTTTTTGTTTTATCTAATAATTGCCATTTGATTAAAGAAGTCAGGAAAGTTGGATCAGAACTCGAGATGATATTTCATGAATTCTCATAATGAGAAATTCATTAAAAAATCTGAGTAAGTCCAGCAAAAGCAAATCTCTTCCAACACAGAGAATGTTATCTGATTCTATAATTTTTCTAAATTTGAATTCATTTTTTTTTTTTTTTTTTTTTTTTTTTTTTTAATTTATTACAAAATATAATCCTAACAATTATATAGTCTCAGGACACAAAATGCGATATATTCTAATCGATTTATCTTAATGAATAAATTATAAAATCATGAAAATTATTCCGTGAAAATTTATCTTTTCCAAGAAATTTCATTTTAAATTTTTGCATTAAAATTTTGTATTAAAATAAATATTTTAGAAATGATTATGTTTATTAAATTGCAATAGCATAGCAATATAACATTGATCGAATTATATATCAATGGATTTGAATTTTTTTTTTTTAAATTATAGAAAATTAGTTTATGTTAACATAATCAATCATTTATATTAGATTGTTTAATTTTTTCGACTGACGTTTACACTAACATAAATTAATTTTCTTCAATTTCTTCAAGGTCGTTGAAATCCAATTGATTTCTTTCTCTTCATTTTTTCCATTTTATATATGTAACCACTTAAATCCATGAAAAAATAATTTTTTGAAATGATTATCAAAATTTTTTAAAATACAAAAGAAACATCAGTATTGGTTAGGCTAGATAAATATCTAGCCGTTGACAGGCGATTGGTAACGCACATACAAAATAATTTTTCAATGATTCAGATTAGAATCTGTCTCTTATATTTAGTTTTTCCTACAATTTTTTATAATTAAATTTGTTATATATAACAATTAGCTATATTTTTCTTAATAATAATATATCAATTTTCTAATACGTACCTTTATGACTACGTATGAACATATAGGTTAACTTTTTAATTTTTTGTTTCTTACAGAAAAAAATATATTTTTCCAAAAAAAGTTTTAGAATTTCATTATCTACTCGTCAAGAAGAATCGATTAATGTATCATATGTCGCATTTCGTGTCCCAAGACTATATTAGGAATGTTCCCATTGTAAAATAGGCCACGGTACCAGGAAAAACTTTGAAGACGACAGCAAAACAAAATGGTGGATAAACAATCATGCCAATGACATTTCTAAAAACATGAGTTATTTTTTAGGTTTTCAACCATATTTTAGAAAAAAATAGCTAAGAAAAATAAACAATAATTAAAATAAGTAAATTATAAAAAAACATATTTATTAGAAAATATTTCGAAAGATACAAATACTCTAGATAATTGTTATAGATTAACGGTATCATTCATCGATATGACTATTTTACTTTGTACGATTCAGAGATGGCATTATATATTATAGACATATTAATAAATATATAGGAATAATTTCTATAATCTCAATCCGGATTTGAAAAGGAAATCTTAGGAAAAAATTAGCAACAAATCATTATAATAATAAAAATATACTTTATTAAGTTTAACAAAAATGATATTGTTGAATGTTGAAAACAATATTGAGTAACATTACTATCTATGTTTTTAATATTCGAAGATCTTTGATTATTTTTTACTAAGAAAGAGTAATATTATTCGCAATGTGTAGTACTTTGATCTCTTGCAGCCTAATTGAATAATTTTTATTTTAGTTTTGATTCGTTAATTACTTTAATTATTCATAATTAAAATAATTATTTTATTACTATTTATTTATAAAAAACATTTTATTTTTAAAATTTTATTAAAAATATTATTATTTGTAAATGAATAATTAAATTTCAATAATCAATAATCCCTCTTAAATCAAATTGAAAAAGATCAACACATTATATTTTATTTTATATAATAATTTTATATAATATTTAACATATATATTAACATTAAAATTTAATAATTTAATAATTTAATGTTAAATTTTTTTTATTTTAATTCATTAAGATAATCTAAATCAATCTATGTTAATTATTAAAATGAAAACAAAAAAAAATGGTAAAATAACAATTTACTTTAAATACAAATCATAATAATAAATTTATCAATCTTTTTTATTAATATCTAAAACAAGAAAATTCTGGAGAAATCTGCAAAAAAGTAATAGTAATGATATTTAAAAATAGAAGTATGAAAGGAATAATAAATATTCCATTTTATTATATATTACATTATATTCTTCGATAAAGTATTTGCCTTATTCTAATAGTATATTGTAAATAGAATTTACTTATTATTTCTTCCATCTCTGTTTCTAAGTTTCACTACCATTATTACTTTCTTATGCTTTTTCAAATGATAGTTTTAATAATAAAATTTTGCGTGACAATTCTGATTGAAAGGTTATGTATTATAGTAAATAGGAATTTTGAGTATAATATAATTTTTTCTAAATAACTAGTTTAAATATATAAATTCTAGTTTAAATATACAAATTCTTTTTAATAGTTATGTTTAAATAATAATAAATATTGTAATAAATGTTGTTATAAGAAGTAAAAATAATATAAATATTCAAAATAATAAAAGAAATATATAAACTTCGGATTTAGGATTATTTTATTTTAACTATTTTAACTATATTAATTTAAGTTTTTTTAATATAAAGTAAGTTTAAATCATTTTTTAAATAAAAATGCAGCTTTTAAAATGATAATGAAGCATAAATTAATAAAAAAAAAAAAGATTTTTAATATTACGAAATATTAATATTAAATATTAATATAATGAAAAAAATAGCTGGTTTACAATAAATCTATATTATAAAAAAATTAATCCAATTAGTAACATTAAATTGATGTATTTCTTCATTGATTATTTTTAATAGAATCTTAAAATCTTTTAATTTTATAAGATATATTTTACATTATCATTTTTAATCTTATGAGATAAAATTTATAATTTATAATATAATAATAATTATTAATAATTTATAATCTTAAAAATTGAAGTTAAAACTTTTAGATCAATTAAAAATAAATATGGTGTAAATAAAAAAATTTAACTAAAAAAAGTAATAAGAACAATTCATAAAAAGCTGAATTAATTATATATTAATTGTATATTATTATAGAATATAAATTATATAATTAATTTTTATTAAATATTACAAGACATTATAAGTCAAATAAAGTAGAATATTAAAAAAAAATTACTCTTTCTTTCTCTCTCTCTCTCTCTCTTTCTCTATATATATATATATATATATATCAGTTATAATAATATGAATAATATATTACTATTACTAATAATACTAACTTATTGTATTATGTAATTGTTAAAAATTAAAATAAAATATAGAATAAGAATTTGAAAATTTTGATTTTAATTAATCATTAATCAATTGTATTATATAAAAAAGAAAAAAATAAAATAATTTATATATGTGTAGAAAATACATTATATTATACATACTATAATTGTAATGTATTTTTATTTGTGTAATTTATTATAACATACCTGTACTGCTAGAAGTAAACATTTCATGAAATTATAGAAAAACAATTCGAAACTAGTAATTTTTAGTAACTTGAACATCAAAGTGAAAGTTCAGACATTGTTGCCGAATGTCTATTCTCACTAAATCTATCTAAAGATTGTGATATAATGCAGGATTAGTGTACATTTATGATTTTATAAATTATAAATTCAATATTTAATTTAATTTTAAATTTATATAATTTTTATGTAATAAAATTTTATTTTATTATTTTTATTAAAATATGAATAGAATAGAAAAATTTATTTCAGATAATTT